GCGGATTGGTTCGGCGTCTGCAGTGATGCGGACGCTGAACCGATCTGTCGTGGTGAAGAGGAAGCTGAGCCAGAAAGCCAGGCTCTCGATTTACCGGTCGATCTACGTCCCAATCCTCACCTATGGTCATGAGCTTTGGGTAATGACCGTAAGAACGAGATCGCGGATACAAGCGGCCGAAATGAATTTCCTCCGTAGGGTGGCCGGGCTCAGCCTTAGAGATCGGGTGAGGAGCTTATACATTCAGGAGGGACTCGGAGTAGAACCGCTGCTCCTCCGGATTGAAAGGAGCCAGTTGAGGTGGTTTGGGCATCTGGTCAGGATGCTTCCTGGACGCCTCCCTGGGGAGGTGTTTCAGGCATGTCCTGCCGGCAGGAGGCCCCCGGGTCGACCCAGGACACGTTGGAGAGGTTACATCTCCAATCTGGTCCGGGAACGCCTTGGGGTCCTGCCGGAGGAGCTGGTGGAGAAGGCCGGGGAGAGGCCGGTCTGGAGCTCCCTAGTTGGGATGCTGCCCCTGCGACCCGGACCCGGATAAGCGGAGGAAGACGATGACGATTCATGTACATACATAATTACAATAAAATGTTTCCTGTTGGGAAGATGCATGACATGTCTCTTGGGAAACATTAACAGATATGGGTGCCGTGTGAATTTTTGGACACGACAAGCAATTTAGTCACTTGTTTTGATGTCATTTCAAGCAGCAAATTAGCACAAACAGCGACCTGCATCCTCTTTTAGTAAGCCGCAGAGATAGGATGCAGCAGTGAAGGCTAATGATGCAATGCTCACTGGCTCATTTGTGCAGTTATTTGCACACTTGTTTTCCAGAAATTCCAAGCTTTTCATCCACTTCCTCCAAGAGCACTTCACAGCAGGCTGCAGTGTGGGTATTGGGACTGGGCCCAGATCAAGCTGTCAGCTTGTAATGGTTTTTATTTATTTTTAGGGATGTCAGTCAGGTCTCCCTCCTGACTTATAGGATGTTTTAATTATTAAAGGAAAACCCGCTACACAAGGACATATGTTACTAGATATATACCCTTATACAAACTTTGAGAAAAAAAACAACCCTGATTTAGCAAAGAAAACACCAACAAATCAAAAGCTCAGGAAGTCAATTATAGAATCGAAGTTCTTCAGAAGTCCGTTTATTCTTCCTCCTGAGGTCAGGCGTGGTATACAGGTGTACAACAAAAAGAAGCTATAACAGAATAAGAATTTACAATATGTACATTTTTCTATATTAAGGGTAAAGAAATAAAAAATAAACTTACTCGACAGGGTGACTTTAAAGAACTCAATGAGGAGTGTATGTTTTTACTAAAGTAAACAAAGTTTCCCCCTTTTATTATTTGATTTTCTCTTATATTTGATATACAAGTCTTTGTGGGTTTAGACTCACGTTTTGATGTGCGATGAGGATTTCTTCAGCTGGAGGTCCAGGGAAGGTAGGTTCTTCCTTTGAAAGAAATTCAGGTAAGGGAAGGTTTGTTTCGTTTTCTTTTCCAACAGAGATCGCTGTGTACTTGCATCTGTTGTCGGATTGATCGGATAAAGTGGCGTCTTGGTGATGACGTCGGCTTCGGTGAAAGTTAACTCGTTTCCTTCCTTTATTTACAGTCTGCACAAGCGTAGAGGGATTAACAACCTCGGTGCTTGGTAAGAAAATTTAAACAATCGTTCTTTGCTTTCCAGCTCCTTCACAACACGCTGCTGCTCGCAGGAGACTGAGGCCCTGTCCACACGCAGCCGGGGATCTGCCAAAACGTAGATATTTTTCTACGTTTTGGCCTGTCGTCCACACGAAAACGGAGTTTTTTCACACGAAAACGGATCTTTTTAAAAACTCCGGCCAAAGTGAAGATCTGTGTTTTCTCCGTTTTGGGTGTCTGCGTGTGGACAGACAAAACCGGAGTTTTAAGGTCCGCAACGTCGCTTTCCGCGACAAAAAAATGCTGACATCACGTGTGCGACCTGTGTTTACACTAGCCGACAGCATGGATGCCCTCAGAGCTGCGCTCGCTTTATCAATTGTCCAAGCGCTTTTTGCTTGTTTGTTTTTGCAAGAGGAATTACTGCTCCTTGCGGAAGACCACAGACGAAGGACGAGGTTAAGAACGGGGGAAGTACTGCCGCCTACAGGTCTGGCATGTCCTTAACAACGTATTTATCCGGGTACGTGTGGTCAGAGTTTTGTTTTAAATGAGGTGGTGTGAATGCAAGTTTTTGGAGGGGCGGATATTCGTTTAAAAAAAAAAACTCGGCTACGTGTGGACTAGGCCTGAGAGAGATGAGGGAGACAGGTAGGCAGTTAAAGGGCGGAGTGGAGTAACACAGGTGTGCAGGGAATTGCAATCAGGACGGTGGCTGGGTGGGTGTAAGTGGTGGGAGGAACCGTTACCAGCTCAGGACCCTGAGCATCTGCCCCGGGACTGGGAGATTGTGGGTTTAAATCCATGGTCAGGACATACCAAAAACTCAGCATTAAGGGGTTCAATTTGGGATTGAACCACCAAATAGTTGCTGAGCACAGTCGTGTCTGCAGCTCACCACTTCCCTGGTTCCCAACGTTTTTCCCAAGGGACCCCGTTTTTTACCAGTAAAATTTTTGATGACCCCCTCCCATTCTCTCTTCCAGTATGAACATTATTAAGAAATGATAAAATTGTTCAAGCACATTTTAATATGCTTTGATTCAATAGATAACAGTAACAAAACCAAACAGAGCATAATGTGCTTGACAGTTTCTATTACGTTTCTGAACACATTGTTTCTTGTAAACACTGATAAATCAATCATTCCTTTCAAGAAACGCTTGACACATAAAATACACTGAGCAAAATGTACTTAAATGTGTATATTACTGTTTATACTAGATTATTTACTGTGAAGGCTGTGATTAATCAACCAGTCCTATCTTTAATGAACTTTTGACACTTGAAAATAAAACAGTGAGCTGAGCAAAATGTTCTTAAAAGTGTGTTACTCTTTCTGTACTAATTATTTCCTGTCTTAATATCAGTAAACTTTTCACTCATGAAAAAAATGAGCAAAATGTAAGCTGTAAACAAGTAATAAATGAAGTTTTAACCCCTTAAAGTGGAGAGGTCCTATCGACCCACTGAGAGGCTTTGGCGCCCCCTTGTGGGGGTCGGGACCCCCAGATTAGGAACCACTGGCCTAGGGGATGGGTCAGATGTGGAGAACTCACTTCACAGGTGTGTGACGACTAATGTGACTTTAATCTATATGCGTACTACATTTGCATCCCCATACTAATGAGAATTAACTTGGCCACGTCTGCTTTCTGCAACTTTCGTCCTTTTCTAAAATGAAAGTTTAAAGCTTTGTGATGGTGACTCCTATGTGTGTGGCAGCAGTGTGCAAGAAATATTCGGCCTCCACATCTTTTAGTTTCATGCATTAGTTCTCATTGTGACTAAACAGCAAAATCAAATAAAAATTTCTCCTCTGAGCCACTTGTTTCCATGGATACCAGAAGGACAATACACCTGTGAAGGTAGTCTGAAAAGCTGCATTTGTGATAATAGCTCATGAATACCACAGCTCTGTGGGGTTGTTTTACTATCTTCTTATTCATATCAGCTACTCTATCTCATTCCAAATGCAGCACTAATTAGATTCATCCTCATGCAGAGCTGACACAAACAACTACAACTAATGTAAACAGTGGGAAAACGTCAGAGCAAGCATGGAGGACTGATGTGGACACGAGCATCCAGACGTTTAAACGGGAGAATCTCTGCATCTTTTCTGGTTGCTTTTCTCTGGAGTCCTTATGGAAGAAGTTCTATGATCCCCGCAGGACGAAGACTGTGTGTCCTGGCTAATTAACAGTCCACTAGCACCGGGTTTGGCAGCCGCTGGGCTGCAGGCAGCTGGAGCTGCAAGCTCCCCATTCTTTACCTGCATCACCATGGAGATGAGCCGTGTGGATGATATTAAGCGTATGCAGATAACTTTCATTGCATCCAGTTATTTCTGTCCAGCTATGTCAGTCTCCTTCATGTGGTCACGGCGACAGACGTGATCTCGCTTTAGCCCAGGTGACAGAAACATTTGCCATCACTGTCACAGGTAACAAGAGCAGAGACAGCTCTGACCCACGCCTTAGTCCATCTGCATCATCATCATCATCTCTCTCTCTCTATCTCTATCTCTCTCTCACACACACACACACACACACACACACACCATGTGGCTTCAAATCATTCCAAGAACCAATCAAGTTAATGAAAGGAAGCAGGTTGCCAGGCCTGATTCTCTGCCCACCTCCCCATGAATCCAGTCATGGATTATGTTATTTTTGGGTTTTATGAGGTGGAATATATAAAAAAAAAAAAAAATAAAAATGATTTTTCAAGATATCAAAATTAAGAAAATGAAATCTTGTTTGAGCAACTCATGACATTTTACACAAAACTCTTGTTTAATAAAAATAAATAAAAACAAAAGTTAGGAGTAGTGAGTCTGTCACACCCACCCTCCCTTTGAGTCAGGTTTGGACTGGTGTATAATATTTGTTTCTCTAGCTCTTCTATAATACGTTGGTCTACAGTGCAGTTCATGGTGGATTTAGAAGCAGCAAGAACCTGAAACCATCAACCCTCCACCACCGTGTTGACAGCTATGTTTGGTATGATGTGATTTATACAGAATACCAGTGCAGATTTGTGTTTGTTTTGTTGTCACACTGCAGAATTGTATGGGCTAAAACATCTCACAGAACACCTAATCTGCTTCAGAACATGATCAGTTTTGCACCACGAATGAAGATGCTGCCATAAATGATAAATAGGAAAAAGAAATATTATTAATATTATTTGTATTCATTTATTTGTTGTTATTTACACACCGTCCAACCAGTAACTATAGCTTCAGCCAGAACAGCAGCTCTCTGCCTCCACCTTGTGGTCAAACGGAGTAAGTACAATTAACAGAGCCGAGCATCTCCTCGGAGTGTTCCTCCGCCAAGTCGGGTCACACGTCAGTGGGAAACCTGTACTGGTGGGTGGACGTGTAGCGCCTGCGTCAGCAGCCAGTACCCGGATGCACCGGACAGAAAGATGGAGCGGGTGGTGGTTGAAATGCCGATCAACAACGGTGAGACACGGCACCAAACACGCCTCTGAAGGTCTTTGAACGGGTCTCCAGCACCGCACTACGCCTCTACGGACTAGTGCTGCTCCGCCTGTGACGCATTCAAATCCGCCGCGGAGCTTTGAGCTCTGAGCGACTGCTGCTGTCGGGATTCTGTCTGAGCTGCAGGCCGCTTCAGCGTCAGTGGGATAAATCAGAACTGATGTTATGTGTCAGCCAAAACAGACCCGCCTCAGTCTCCATCATGAGTTAGTAATGGTAATAACAACATGCTGTAATAACAGGAAAAGACAAGTTATAACTCCGAAGGTGGTTTCGTTTGGCTTCGATTTGGAGTGGGAAGCCCGAAAAATAGAAACAGGTGGATTTTTTATTTTTGTAAAAAAAATAATAATAATAATTAAACAAGCCGAAAATGGACAGCTGAGCCTTTAGTATTGAAATAATAATTAGCAACATTTAATAAATCCACAAGTTTTTATTTCAGACACCAAGTCAAAAGAAAATCTTATTAGCGATGAGACTTTTCATTTCATTTGTCTAACTGTAATCGTTTCTGTCTCCAACCTCAGGGTTTTCCATGACGTGCCCCTCGGCGACGCCCCGAAAGCGCCAGGTGCGTTTCTCAGCCCGACACGACATCATTCTTCTGCGAGAGGTCATCGCTCAGAACCCGTTTGGCTCCAAGGAGCCAGGTTTGTCTTTCAGTTAAACATCGTGAAACCACTAAAAGGCTCAGTGGAAGAAAGTAAATGCATTTAAAAAATAACAACACAGAACCAGAAAACACAAAACACTTCTATCACATTTTCACTTCTACTCAAGTTGATCGACAAAATAGTGAGACGAAGCAGGGCTTTACTAAAGCAGACACCAACAACACATTTTTATTTCATTTCATGAGTAAATAAATCTGAATATCATTTAGAGCAGTGGTGGGGAAGCCCGGTCCTCGAGGGCTGCTGTCCAGCATGTTTTGTTTTTCCCTGCTTCAACATGCCTGATCTTTAATCAGCAGCTGATTAACAGGCTCCTGCAGAGCTTGATGGGCTGCTGAGAAGGTGAATCAAGTGTGCTGGAACAGGGAAACAACTAAAACATGCTGAAGCGGGAAACCCTACTTACCAAGAAAGGACTGGTACAGCAGAGTATAATGAGAACAGAGCTGGGCCGAGGGTGGAACCTTGAGGAACTCCACATGTAAGAGAGGCGGCAGCTGGAGGTTATGGACTGTAAAGTTCCAGTCCGTCAGGTGCAATTTTGCCTTTAAATACCTAAACACTGTACAGTTGGCCTCTTGTTCTGTCAGGACGGATCTGGGCCCGTGTCGGGGAGATCATCACTGCCGCCCTCCAGACGGAGAACTTTGAGGTGGATGCCAGAAGGTGTAGGGAGAGGACCATGCTGCTGCTAGACTACTACAAGAAACAGGACTTTCCCAGTCTGCGTAGGTTGGTCCAGTCAATGAGAGCTTTGCTACAGGTGTCCTGTTCAGAAAGGACATTTTTGTATTTTACTTGACCTACCTTTACTCAGGTTTGGCACAGAGAGGTTGTACGCCCAAAAGGAGGATCTGCTTCATGAGGTTCTGGAGCTGGAGGCTGAGCGGGGTTTGCTGGCCAGCGCTGAGGGGGCAAAGTACCAGGTGAGTGTCAGAAAGCAGGAGGCATTCATGTATCATCAGGCTGCTTCGGGAATAAAAATAGAGATGACTGAACTGAGAGGAGAAACCTTTTCTGTCTCTCCACTTGTTGATATTTAGTAAGTTGGTGTATTAGTTAATTAATTAATTAATTAATTAATTAAATTGATTGATTAATTGATTAATCAAATAACGTCAATGTTATCAGATGAAAGTCTTCAGACTCCCTTGCCTGCCTCCTAACAGAGAATATGGTGTTTATGGAATCTAAAAGCTTTATTAATTTCATCCGAGCTAACACAGACTTCCTAGCCTGGCTAGACAGACTAAATTATATATTTATTTAGGCTACGCTGCATTCAGTGGCGGCTGGTGAATTATTATTTTTTTTGGTGGGGCGCAATTTAACAGGTGTTGTGCCGAAAGAGCATGCCAGCCAAGATTTGCATGACCTGTAATGGCGAGGGTGAATCTGAGTGATGAGATTTTTTAATACATTTGTACTATTAAATTAAATTAATTAAATAAAACCTGTCAAAAACTTCAACATTGAATCAGTATTTCATCATATTTCTAGTAAAAACCAAATGTTTTTCAGGAGAAACACGGATTAGAAAAGCGTTGGCATTATGAATGCATTAAAAATAGCCTAATCGATTCACTCACCATTCTATTAATTAAGTCTGAAGTCTGCGGTTGGGACAACTGAGCTGATTTCAGTTGCACTATCCACATATCACCACTAGGGAACGCCAAATCACCATTCTTATGCGTCACACCGCCAGACCAGTAACAGCAAAATTGTTCCAAATAAACACAACGAGCTTCATCTCACCTACAGGATGAAGAGCGGCAGACTCGGACCGTAGATGAGCTGAATCTACCAGAACAGGACAAACCCAACATCACACAGATGCTTTCTGCAGGTAAACCGTGCGGTGTGAAGCCGCCTCACCTGGATACGTTTAACTACGCATCTGTGATTTCCTAATGATTAATATCCCGGGGATGTTGCCATTTGATTTCATTTTGTTATTTAAGAAGCAGAAGAAGAACACGAGCAGATGTCCGAGGTGTCGGCGGCGCCCACAGCCAAGCGTCCGTGCCAGTGCTGCTGTCAGACGTACTCCGAGATCCTCAGCTTTCTGGAGAAGCGCTCCGAGGCCGAGCAGCGGCTCCGCGAGGAGGAGCTCGCCCTGCGCCGGGAGGAGCTGGAGATTCAGAGGAGTACGTATTCATTTTAGCAAATCCAAATAGAAAAAATAAGATCTTTCTCCCAGCCTGTTACCTGGTCTCTCTTACATGTTTTGTCAAAATGAATAAAATCTAAATTCCCTGACTATATCAGGTGATCACAAAAGATAACTCATTTATTTTAGATGTTCCTTCTAAAATTAGAACAGTAATTATAAATATTGATTTAATTTAAGCCTTTGACGTTCTGGTCTAACTTCTTATGCATTTAAATCCCTGTTTCTTACTGAAGCGTGCATCCAACTTATAAAAAAATGAATAAAACGTTGCAATAAAAATGTAAACATTACATTTTAACGTATTTATGATGGTTGAATTATTATACAGGTGATCCCTCATTTATCGCGGTAGGTGCGTTCCAGACCTGGCCGCGATAGGTGAAAATCCGCGAAGTAGGGACACCATATTTACAGTATTTATTTAACAGTATTCAGACTTTTAAAACCCTCCCTTTACATAGAAAAAAAATTTACTTGGTTTTTTTATAGTTTTATTAAAAAAAGTGCAATTTATGAAGAAATTGATGAAAAACAACAAGAATTTCTTGATATTTCGCATAGAAAAATACCGCGAATCAGTGAAAAATAACGCGAATCGGCGAATTTCCCTTGAATAAGGTTCCAAAGAAAAAATCCGCGATAAACGAACCGCGAAGTAGCGAGGGATCACTGTAATACATTTTATACATTATGTGATTGCCCCCTAAAGCAATAAAAAGGGTCAAAGATGAAATAAAATACTTATTTTTTTTAGTTCTGTGTGAAAAATGGTGGCTTCTTTCAATTTCAGGTAAGATTTCTCTGGAGCGAGAGCGTCTGGAGGCAGAGAGAAAAGAGCGGGAGAGCCGGTTTGAGCTGGAGAGCCAGGAGAGGCAGGTCATCTTGGACCTGCTGAAGGATAAAGTTCTGAAGGGCTGAAAAGCAGACGCCACCACCTGCGGCGCTGGAGGGATGGCTACGGAACAGCTAAAGTGGAAGTGAAAAGGTCACAGAGAGGAACGGTATTTAAAACCGACACACGGGCGGTCTGTTGCTTCTGTCTGATTTCAAAGTCAAACAGAAAAAAAGGAAACCTGAGAGCCAGACACTAACAGGAAGTACATCTGCTGCAGGAAGTTCTGAACGAACTGAAATGGTATTATCTTCATACAAATCTGCACTAAAGATAAAACAGAAACACTTTAATCATCAAAAAAAAAAAACATGAAACATCCTGTTTGGTGGCTGATCCACTTCTTGTGTTTAAACCTTTCACAAACTCAGCAGCAGCAGGCAGACCTTTCATCTGAGCCTGATCCATCCGACTGAGAGCGGTCCGGATACTTTTCCTACTTCCGGTCTTCTTCGGACTCAGACTGGATCAGGATGCAGGAGAATAAGATGCCTGAAAAGCTCGTCTTCTGTTCGGATCCACCAGTGATGTAAAACCTCAGAGACGGTGTTACCGACGGCGTTGAACGCATCACAAACGTAACGAGTTACAGAGATATGTTCTTTTTCAGTAGCAGAGTATTTTAACACATTACTTTTAAAAAGTAGATTAGTCGTTACAAATTCAGTAACTCAAAGCAAACTCCCCTCAAACAATTCAGCTCAAACCCAAATCAAGCTGGATGCTGCTGTGGGATAGCTTATTATCCTTAGTGGCTCTCCGTAGAAGCCAGTGAGCGGTGTCGGGATGGAGCAACGTCGTTTAATAGCTAACATGATGGCTAAATTGGTTTTTCATTCAACTTACTGATAAACAGTAATAAAAAAGTTTCTCCTCTTTTTTGTGATAGACACCATAGAAGAAGATAACACGCACTTCCTGCCGCTCACACTTCACTTGGACGACGCTAGTTCAGACTAGTTTTGTTTTTGATCAAATTCTTCAGTGAAGAACATTTTACGTTAACCAATCAGATGCGAAGGTACTGGTGACTTGAAGTGTAATCAAATAATTGTTTGTGGTCTCATGTTTGTGTAAAATGTAAATTTTATTTAATATGATAAAGATATCTTGGCTAGAGTAACCCAAAGTGGTGTAACTCAGTTACATTTCTGAGACAGTAATAAGTAGTACAAGCAGGGCCAGATTAACACTTCGTTGTACCCTGGGCAACAATATTCAAGGGCCCCATCATCACGACCCAAGGATCACCATAATGTGGTCACATACAGAATATATTACTGTAATATGCAGTAAATATACTCAATACTTGAATGCCTGGCATCACGTAACCCACTCAGGGTATCCTTTGACCCACCTTGTGTGGACTGACCAATGAGGAGAGGGTCTTAACTTGAGGCCCTCTCCTCATTGGTCAGTCTGCATGAGACTGACTCTCAACTGACGTTCAAAGTCATAGGCAGCGAAGCGTCTCTGTGCAGCGCAAAAGCCCGGGTGGACAGTTTGTTTAATGTAGGGTGATCATATTTCCATTTCCAAACAAGAGGACAGGGGATCTGTGCCTATGATGTCACACTATGGCAACGCCACACAAACCACGTTGGGACCCATTTTTTGTAAGAACTAAATTAATATCAGATTCTGCCAATTAAAGGGCTTTAAAACAATTCGTATGTAAATATTTAGCATATTTACTGCAAAATCTCATTTTTCTGCTTTAGTGCTGCAACAAGGTTTTATTAATAATAAATTATTATACCTTTTGTTTTACTACAGCATTGGTAAGCTTCCTGTGCACAAATTATTAAGGATGCTTGTTTCAGCTGTGAGATTAGACGATAGGATCAATGAAAAAATAAGTTGTCACACACTCCATGGAAACTTTCAGAGAATCCACAAATAGTGGCTTTCAAATGGTTTTGTTACTTTTAGCTACTTTAGAAAAGCAGCAGATGAGACAGCATGTCTGATCATTTAGTTTTTCATCTGATATATTAGAACATGTCAGTAATGTCTGAGGGGCTTTTATAAACACTGTATAACTAATACTCCTGGAGAGGGTAGGGATTACACAGAGGCTTCTGGGGAGCCCAGTTATGGGGGGGGGGGGGGGGGGGGCTGGGGGCGGGGGGGCATTTTGCCTTGGCCCCCAAAATGTCTTGAAACGGCCCTGGGTGTGTGACAGAGTTTTGAAGGTGATCTGAATTGTATCAGATGTATAATTATTACATGTGTGTAACTTGTTGCTTTATACAGGTAAAAACGTGCAGTGGAGATAAATCTACCTACATTTTACTTTTTGTTTTGTTTTCTTGTTTTTATTTAACTATTTCCTGTCCTGTCTGTCTCTCATCTTCCTGCATCTCCTCTAAACTCTCCAGAAAAGCTGCTGCCTGGATTCTTACTTTTTCACCTCATCAGTTACTTCTGAGCAAATCAAAGGGATCTCCTGACCGCAAAGTGGAGAGCGCGTTTCGATGCTACGTCAGTGAGGTGACATCACCGCAGCACAGGTGATGATCTCCGCAGTGGCAGAGCGCTTCAGGCACAAATAAGACAGAAAATAGAGAGCATGTGCGGACATGAACGATCGTGTGCTAATTATAGTTTTTTGGTTGCGCCACTTTGAGAATGGACCGTGCGCTGGACGCAGCTGCCTGGAGCGCTGCGCAACAACACAGCGCTGTGCCGCTCTCTGTGCTCTTTGCTCAAACGAGTCCATAAATGATGTAATATTGGTAGAAAACTTTTTTCCGGCTTCCCTGGATGTGTAGGATATCCAACTCCCCCATAATTCGATCCCTGCTCCTGCAAAAGCCGGACATTTTCATCAATACAAGAACCCCCCAGTCCGGACGCCCCGGACAGAGAGTGAAAAGTGGACATGTCCGGGGAAAACGGGACGTGTGGTCACCATAGTCCTCATAAAGCAGGAAATTACAGATACAGGATTTTGCTCGTGCCCTTGCTGCCTTGGGCCCTTTAGAGTTCGTGGGCCCTGGGCAATTGCCCAGTTGCCCATATGGTTAATCCGGCCTTGAGTACAAGCATATTACATTTGTAGGTGTGATTAGTCAAATCAAATATTTTTTTCTTTTGGGTGGTTTTAAGCTAAAAATCTTAACCAACACTGGTTACTGAGCATGCAGCAGAGCAGCCCTCTCCTCCTGACGCGTGCTGATGTAAAATCCAGATCGGCTGTGTGGTTTCCACTGATGATGTCATCTCCTCCGCTCTGTTGAAACCCTCCAAGCTGGGCTTGTTGTGTCCGCCCTCTCAGAGCTTCACTGGGAAATCTGCCAACGGTTACAGCAACAATGCTCAGATTGCTAACAGCAACTGAGAAGAGACTCAACAATCTTGCAGAACGTGCTGATCCTAAAGTGATTTGAGTGTTTTAGGTGTGACGGGGTGTTGAGTGCTTTCTGAAGCCACTGAATCGCCTAAACAGCCTGCTCAGAGCTAATCGCTGATTCTCCCTTTGGCTCAGGAGAACTGACCTCTGAGAACCAGAATGAAGAGGTGGGTGTGGAGGTTTGAGCCACCTTCAGTCAGTTTGAGATGCAGTTAGTAACCTCCTTCTGTGGCTCCAAGTGTCATGTTGTGTGTTCCCTTGTTCCCCAGCCCCCTCCTGTTCGTCCTCTGCGTTTCCCTCATGTGTCTCCTTGTGTTCTCCAGCTCCCTCAAGTCTTCCCTCATGTTTCCTGCTAGTCACTCCCGTGTAGTTCTTAGTCTTCCTCACCCCTCTAGTCATTAGTTGTTTATCTTTGCCCTTAGTCTTTAAGTTTCGTTATTTAATGTTTTATAGGTTATGGTTTATCTCCCCCTCTGCTTAAGGCCTAGTCCACACGTAGCCGGGTTTTTTGAAAACGAATATCCGCCCCTCCAAAAACTTGCATCCACACCGCCGCGTTTTAAAAACAATCTCTGTCCACACGTACCCGGATAAATACGTTGTTAAGGACATGCCAGACCTGTAGGCGGCAGTACTTCCCCCGTTCTTAACCTCGTCCTTCGTCTGTGGTCTTCCGCAAGGAGCAGTAATTCCTCTTGCAAAAACAAACAAGCAAAAAGCGCTTGGACAATTGATAAAGCGAGCGCAGCTCTGAGGGCATCCATGCTGTCGGCTAGTGTAAACACAGGTGGCACACGTGATGTCAGCATTTTTTTGTCGCGGAAAGTGACGTTGCGGACCTGAAAACTCCGGTTTTGTCCGTCCACACGCAGACACCCAAAACGGAGAAAACGCAGATCTTCACTTTGGCCGGAGTTTTTAAAAAGATCAGTTTTCGTGTGAAAAAACTCCGTTTTCGTGTGGATGACAGGCCAAAACGTAGAAAAATATCGACGTTTTGGCAGATCCCCGGCTACGTGTGGACAGGGCCTGAGTTTTGGTTTTGTCTTTGCAGTTTTGTTTTTTAGGTTTTGGCTTTCTTCCCTTTTGGATTCTTTTATTTTTTTTGTCATCCTAAATAAAGGATTTTACTTTTATCTCCACTCCTGCCTCGTGTCGTCCTGGGTTCTGCATCTTGGGTCCTAACCTCCTGATCTCAGCGTGACACCAAGACTTTGGATCTTCTCCTGCTGGCTATGAGATCTGATCACTGGACCTGGTATCTCTAAGAGTCAGCTCCAAACTTTCCTTTTGTTTCATGTGTCTTGTGATGTTTATGTTCTGAATCTGAGAAGCTCTTGTTTTCTCTTGAGGTGCAAAATACAGTTTCACTTATTTTCTTTCTTATAATTAACAAGGATACACTGATAAGAAAACATGGGCCAACATCGATGTCCAATTTCAATTGTGCTGTTAGGGCTGCTAACTGATATTTATCAATATCCAGGGTTCGAATGATGGGGGAGCTATGGGGAGCCGGGCTCCCCTGAAAGGGTGGCGGGCTCCCCTGGAAGCCCTCAACCTCGAGGCAGCAGTTTCTCTGGAGGATTGAGAGAAGCTGCAAGAAGTTCAGACTGACAGGACAGGAAAATAGTCAAATAAATACAAGAAAACAAAACAAATAGCTTGAAATGGGAAATGTAGGTGGATTTCTCACTTCATGTTTGAACTGTATAACACAATAATTTATAAGGATCACCTACAAAACTCACTCACCCAGGGCCATTTGGAGGCATTTGGAGGCCCAAGACAAAATAGACTCAGGGCTTCCTGCATCACTACCACACGCCAATCAAATAGCACCTGACCAACCTTCGCTCCTCCTCCCGAGACATAGCCCAGCGGCCTGGGTTTCATTTATCGGACCAGACTGACATGTTAAAAATGATACCGTCATTGATTCTGACATATCAGAACTAAAAGTTTGCTCAACAAAAAAATAAAAAATAAAGGTTTATTTCACACAATCAAAAATGACCTGAAGTGTTATATACCTGGATGAGTTTGTTCTGGTGGTTTCTGTTTAGAGCTTTATACACCCCACAGATGGAATTCTGTATTTCCTTGACCGAATTACCACATTTGGCTGAAAAACACTTCTGTACTTCAGACGTTTTCCAGGAAACAAACATTGAAACCTTTTGTCCACAATCAGGTTTCTAAACTGGAAGAACATGATCGCATTATCAGTGATTTTATCTGATCTTCAACGAACTGCTGTCCTGTTGTGGTTGGTCATGTTCACGTCAGCATCCAAAGATGTCATTTTTTTATTGTTTACATCAGAACATCAACAATGAAGTCAGATCTGTATTATTTTCTTTTACTTTCATGTTTATTGAACGATAGAAGTTTGTTTAAGCATGTAACACATTCTACATTTGGTTGAGTTGTTGTGTTTATGTTTATTAATTTGGCGGACAATTTTATCCAAAGCAAAGAACAATTGTTAATCTGTAGGGCATGTTGTGTCGTCTGTGGGGAAAACCGAAGTACCCGGAAGATGGGGAGAACATGCAGAAAGGCCGCAGCCGGGTTTTGAACCTGCAACCTGCTAACAACTGCACCACAGTGGAGCCCTAATCAGTGCATTTATTTTGCAGAAATGTAGCTGATGAAGCTGCAGGACTGAGCTGCATGCAGGCTGTCAGACCTTAAGGGTTCATCTGGAGCAGTGAAGACGAGGTGAAAAGTCAACATTTATCCACCAGAAGCATCTATTTTCATAAATCTCAGAGGGAAAGGGAAATATGCTCCAGGTCGCCTGGGAAAGAACATCTAAACGTTTCAGCTGGACAGGAAATGCAACAGAAAGACTTGTGTTGCCTGAGACAGACCATGTGTTTCTGTTCCAGTTTATGAGCTTATATTGCTGCGACAGTTTTCCTTAAACATTATTTTGTTTGCTAAAGCATATTGCTATAATGTAACAAATATTCCTCGATTATTATGTTGTTTACCTTATTGTGTTTTAATCACATATTCTACTAACAACAACTTAGAAAACCTGAAAACTCTTCATACTGTCTATTCTGTAGTCTAGTTGCTGCGTTTTCCAGTAGGTGGCAGTAGTGCAGTAAACTGTGTGGAGGCTGCAGAAAAATGCACCCACGAAGAAGAAAAATCCGTTTGATTGGTCTCTGCTGCTGCGTGTTTGTTCCTGAGCTACTGCTGGCTGCGTCGCCGTGACCGCATTTAAATGTTGCGAAGAGTTTTGTTTTTGGTTGGACCTAACGCTAACCGCTCGCTGTGTTGCCTGTGACGTTGTTGAGGTTCGTTTGATTTATCCGCAGGACAGCCCGCCTGCCCCGCGTGCTTCGCGTACCGTTGTGTCCAGGAAAAATCTCTGTCCGTTTTTTTGGGGCTTTTTGTCGCAGGTAGGAGATTGTTTGAGTTGGCAAACAGCCACACGTGACGTGAAACATGTGCCCCCGCTTTCTAGTCCACTGTTGAGCTCACAAACGTTTCCATTGTTGGCATTTTTTCCCCATTTAGGATGCACGAAGCCTGTCTGAAACCAGGCGCGCTTGATTTTTAGACTAAACTCGCGTTATTGTTTTTCCTTTTTTTCCCTTCAACATTTCTGAGGCAGATTGTTGACATTTTCACGAAGCTGGAAATTTCCCACATTACCCGCAGCGAAGCAGCATGCCCATCAGACGCTTTGGGGGTCACAGGTCTTTAGTTTCTTACTCCCAAGCTACAAATTTGTCGTATGGTTACACGAAGATGAACATTTCCAGAAGTGGATATCGTGTTTTTGCTGCTAACTCTAGCGGCGTGTGCACCGAGCTAGCCAAGAAGATAACAGAGTGAGTAGCTTGTCGCCAATCTGTGTTTAAAGTGTAGTTAAATCAGACTTTTGTCTGGGAATTTCAATGTTTGCCTCAACTTTCTACGTCTGCATGAAGATGTAGCACGGTACAAAGCATTCTGGGTAACACTTAGCTCGGATTAAACGCGTTTAAGGAGTGTAAACCATTTTACTTAATGCTATTACTCATTTTCTGACAAACATACATATTTATGATCATTTACAAGTGATTTTTGTTTAGGCTGCCGACATATAAGTCTTTGTTTGGACCCAGTCATCCTAACCGCCATGCTAAAGCTAACATTGCTTCAGGTTAGCTTACTTTAAACGGAACTAAATATTTTATGTGTTGTTTCACTCCGAGGCATCTGGAAATAACCAAATTCAGCCATTCCCATGACGAAAACAAACAAAAAACTCAGTTAAATCATTGTTGAAGTTTTTTTTTTTTTTACAAAAACAATTTCTTCAATAATGAAAAACACTTCTCTTATTTGAGTGGATTACACAATATTTAATATCACCAAACTGACGCTTTTCTATTATCTGGTGAGAGATTTGAATAGCACCAAATGTGATGATCACAGCGTGTTTTTCCAGGTGTCTTTCTGCTCAGGTAGGGAATCCTGTCACATGGCAGCCTGGGTTTATTTATTAGGCAGTGATTCAGGGAGTGTCTAAAGTAAAACAACATTTCTTCATGTGGAGCAAAGGTCACAGAAGCACATTGTGATGACTGGGATGTGTGAGCAACAACAAATGCTCTGCTTAGCTCTCTAACCATGTGATGATAAATAAAAGGGTTTCACGGCTTTAAAATGGATTTTCTTTTGAGTTTATTGTTGCGTACATTTATTTTAAAGCTGTTTTTTTAATCTATCTTCAAATTTTAGCCTTTTCTGGTTCCTCTACAACGATAATAAATGTCACCAAATGTCAACGTTAGAACCAGACTTGTGAAAAGATTACTTGTTCAACCTGCAATGTCTGTAGGATGTCTGAACATGACCATGGGTGGATGGATAAGTGAGTAGGTAGGTAGGTGGATGGAAACGTAGATGGGTAGAAACATGGAAGGGTGAATGGATGGATGGATGGATGAACATGTAGACAGATAGATGGCTGGATACTGCACTGATCTCAAGGGAAATGTGGCTGCTTGGTAACACCTAAAGCAGTAAAAGTACTCCTCAAAACCAAATTCATTGACAGGAACACAGAGTAAAGGGACTTGGGGTTAACAGGACTTGCATATTGTTTGTAGTGACCCACCTACCCCTCCCCAGTGTGCTGTTGACACCGCTCAGTAGTCCTGAGTAGGAATAGCCTGGCAAGCCAGTCTAAATAAATATATTATTTAGTCTGCAACACTCCATTGACGGCTCACGGTCGTGGGGCGTGTTCTACCGTTGTCTTTCGAACGATCTCTACGTGCTTCTGGACAATGAACGTGACATACTCACAACGGATGTCGGTAAACGAGGCAGTCCGCTGTTGGAAGAAGGCAAAAATGCATCATTTTTCTAAATGAAGGACATAAATATATCTATTTGCTCCTGATTCTAATGAATACCAAGTCTAAATAGTCCAAAATTGATGCAAAAGTTGTTTCAAACGAGCTGTCGCCATCTGTGTCATCATCCCGCCCACCAGAGGAATAGAGTGTCCTGATTGGTACACAAAGCCCACCATCGTGGACCAATCACAAAGCTCTATAGGATTGAAACCCCTAAAGAGCTGCGATTAGTAGAACGTTCCTAGACCAAACTTTGCAACGCTAGAATTTGGTCCCGTTCACTAGGCTATGGTAGGAATGCCGGTTGTTGTGGTTATGCCTCCAGTGACGGCAATCAATGTGGGAAGAAATAGTTTGATACTTAGTAGAAAAGTTGTTTTAAACGAATAACAACATTGATTTCAGTTTTTTTCCCTGTCTTTTATCATCTCAGACGTTTGGGCGTGGAGTTGGGCAAGTCAGTGGTTTATCAAGAGTCCAATTCAGGTGAGCCTAAAGGTAACTTGGTGGTTTCTCCTTTGTCTTCTCCTCACTTCTACCTTTTCTTTTCTTTTACAGAGACTAGAGTAGATGTGAAAGAATCTGTCCGTGGGCAGGACATCTTCATCATTCAGACCATTCCCAGGTGAGGCAGGAACAGATGAGTATCTTAAACTTCCTGATTGGAGGGAAATTAAAACATCTAAACTAAGAGGAACAAGGAGACACAATTTGTCTTGTGTTTGTCAGAGATGTCAACACGGCCATCATGGAGCTGCTGGTCATGGCGTATGCACTGAAAACATCTTGTGCCAAGAACATCATCGGAGTCATTCCTTACTTTCCCTACAGCAAGCAATGCAAGATGAGGAAGAGAGGATCCATTGTTTGCAAACTGCTTGCTTCTATGCTCGCTAAGGCCGGTACGTCATGGATCTGTTTAATATTATACCTAGTTTACACAGTAGTGAACCCATTGGTTGATGTGGAAAAGTCTGACTCATTGGGTCTAATTTCTGAGGGGACTCTTTTCTTTGGTCATAGTTAAATGTAAAAATAAATATTTAAAGCACACGTGTCAGACACAAGGCCCAGGGAGCATTTTTATGTGGCCCGCAAGATAAATACCAAAAATATATTAAAACTGCCCCGCTTGCCGATGTTACCTCTTAAGACTACAACTCCCATGATGCTTTGCAGCGTTAGCGGAGCCGAAGAACCCCCTCCTTTGTGTTTTTTCCAGCGTCTGCTGCCGGTGTCTGCAGCTCCGCTGTCTCGGACAAACTAAACACTCCTCTCACTCAGCGCTGAGTTTAGCGAGCATACTCAGCTATTTACCGACGTTGAAGCCCAGAAACGGAGATTTTAACCGCTCAGTGATGTGTTCACGACTGAAAGAGAAAGATTTCCAGTTAACTTCCAGACAGAGCTGATATAACTCCAGCGAGCAGCGACACGCTCAAACCAGCACGACTCTGTGGCTGCTGTAGTTGTTATTTTTCCCCCCCGACACACGACGACGTGGTCAAGCTGCTCAGACATGTTCAGCAGCACAAACCTATGTGAGCACCTGTTGTCATCTAATGTTGTCATTATTATGATGAAGATGAACAAAACAACAGGAGTCTCCTCCTCAGCTCAGATCAACCCCATGATGCAGGTATCTGGCTGGAACAGGTGAGCATCACAGTAAACCAGTGGAGCAAACTGAGCTTTAAATATGTTGGTTTTATGCTCTTTTTCTGCTCCAAAACATGAAAGTTAACAGGTGAGATGTTGCATTTTCATTTAAGATAAAATGATATTTTATTTTGTTGTTGGCCCGTGAGAAAAGATTTAACCTACAGTAAACAGGAAGTGGAAAGGCTGCAGATAGATAGAAAATCCCTTTATTGTTCCTCAGTGGGGAAAGCTAGACGTCACAGCAGCGATGACACGTATTACAGGAGAAAAAGGAGAATAAAAAATAAGAAAAATGAATAAACAAGAAAACATAAATCCTGAATAGATTTTAAAAATACTGAATATACCACAAGTAATGAATACCACTGATGTGTTTTATTTAAAACTGACTTGCTCGTGTGTAATTTGGTTATTCCACATTCAGTGTTAATGCAGAAATAAGTTTGTTTCCAAATTTAAAGTTTCTAAATTGCATAAATGTTGATAAAGAAAATGTGCAAATTTGCCGTCACTTTTTCAAAAAATATTAAGTTTGGCCCTCGACTCCGTCCCAGAGTTTCATTTCGGCCCCTTGTGAGTTTGACACCCCTGATTTAGAGGGATATTTGCAATTTGTTCATATTTTTAAATCATTTTCTTGAGCCAGTATGTGGATCCTTTACAGCAGGGGTATTTAATTCTGGGCCTCGGGGGCCGGTATTCTGCACGTTTTAGTGGTTTCTCTGCTCCAATAGACTTGATTCAGGGGTTGAATCACCTGTGCAGCGGCTCATCGGGCTCTACAGAAGCTCGTTAATCACCTGCTGATTTAAATCAGGTGTTGAAACAGTGTTTAGACCAAAACATGTTCGATAACGGCCCTCCAGGCCCAGAATTGATTGCCTTGGTTTTACAGGGTTAATCAAAGACCACTCAGACCCCCACTGCCAATTTTTCCGTGTTGCGTTCTTTAATCTGTTCCGTGTCTGCAGCTAAATATCTTATTGCTTTTTGACGGGGCAATTGGGCTTTTGACGAATTTCAAGGAAGCGGCGTCCTGACCAGCCACAAAGGTTTTGAACCCCTGAAATATATTTTGTTCCTTTCCAGAGATTTTGCTTAGAAAAATTCACTCTACTACTGATTTGCAATGTTGGTGTTTTACCTCCACAAAAACACAAGCCTGGAGGAGGAGTTCAACTGCGCTCAGATCAGCTGATTTGCGTCGGTCTGACCCACCGCGGTGCACACCAGCACAGAGCGAGAGAAAGATGGGGAGGAGACTAGATCTGTTTAAGTTAACGGGACAAACAGCTGAAACTGGGAAGAACTGTGAGGGAAAACAGTTCAAACTAAATCACAATGGCGTTTAAGAGATTAGGCGTTAACGAGCTCTTAACGCTCTTTACTCTCACTTGGCACTAGGGTTGTCACGGTAACCGGTGTAGCGGTAAACCCCGGTTAAAAAAGTTGACAATAATAATAACCGTCTTGTTTTTTTAAAACTATATTATCTCGGTGGGTTACCGTGGCTGCAGTGTAGGCGCGGTGACCCTTACCAGCCACCGTATCATCTGCTGAAGTTGCCGGCGGCACATGCGCACTTTGTTGTTTACAACCAAAACTTTCTTGAAGCTAAAGCTGAAATAATGGCCAAAGGAGGAGACGGCAGCGCTCAGGACATTTATTATCCCTCAAAGAAGACAAAGTGGGAAGTACGGGCATCTTTTGGATATGTGAAGAATGCCGAGGGACAGCTGATAGAAGACGGCTATCCTGTTTGCAGCACGTGCAGAAAGTGTCTGTGAAAGGCAGCAACGCTTCAAATCTCATGACACATCTGCGTGACCATCACCCACAACTCTACAGTCAACGCAAGGCAAGCTAACGTTAGCGTTTTATCTAAAATGCGTGATCCGAGGATTTGGGCTGAGGGAGAATGCAACGAGTCGCTATATAAAGCAGCCGCAGCGCCGCTACCTGCATATAAACCGTGTCGCGGACACCGCCATGTTGAAATGACGCTATGCATTACGGGGCTCCCAGGGGCAGATAAGAGTTGGTCTCTCTCCGAGAATAATTATGAATTTAACAACGATTACTGCCTGATGGCATTTTCCCACATCTGCAAAGCTCACTGGAAGGACACAAACCGAGGACAATATTTTCCTGATATAGGGTTTATTACTCAAGTAAGGGTAAAAAAGTATCTGATTAGAAGGCTACTCGAGTACTGAGTATCATCTGGTCTAATATTTTTAAATGATGACATCAAACAGACATAAAATAAGAAGTTATGGGCAAATATTGGTATTTTAAAGACTAAAGGGGAAAAATGTAAACAAATAACATAATTACAAAATAACACATTTTAGGCAAAATTTAGACACAAACTGAGGACAATATTTTCCTAATATACAGGGTTTATTTAGTTGTCTGAAAATGTAACACGTAAAAAAAAAGTATTGCGATAATACAGAAAACCGTGATAATTTTGGTCACAATAACCGTGAGGTTAAATTTTCGCACTGTGACAAAACTCCTAGTACATTTTACCGAGGATTCGAGATGTCCCGATACAACTTCTTCACTTCCGATACGATACAGATATTGCAGCCTTCAGTATTGACCGATACAGATATCAATCTGATATGATATCAGCACAAATCATACCTACTTTTACCTATTTTGTAGTGTGGAATGTATGAAAGGCTCGTTCAAGTGATATTTCTCAGAGAACAAAAGCCAATAACAGTAAGTATGGGGAGAAAAAAAAGACAATTTAGCGATTTTTGATGCAGTCCAATATAATCCCATACAGTGTTTTTAGGCCGCTATTGAATTACTCCCGATATCGGAAGGGAAAATCCCTACCGGGATGTTTTTCGGCTCACCATCTGACTCCTAAAATCCAAACCATGTCTGTGTAGCCGACGTCACCCCGTGTTGTTTACTTCACGTCTTCATCTACGCGCTCTGCTCTGCAGCAGCTGCTGCATTTCGTCCAGAGCCGATGCAGATTGGCAACATTTATGCGAAAGCAGGTGAAGCGCTAACCTCTCTCGCTCCTCATCAGCAAGAGCTCATCCTAGGCAAGAATCATACCAATTATATCTAATACTGTTTATACCGTGTTATGCTGACGACACACAGCTATACATCTCTGTCTCCTGGTGGCCTCTGGTCGATTGATGCACTTTTGAACTGTATCTTAAATGTAAAGACGTGGATGATGGAGAACAGGACAAAACATAACTATTAATCATTGTGCCCGAGGCTCAGAGAGAAAATCCAAACTGGGTTTAATCATCTGAAGACCCCAGCCATGTTTCTGTGGGGTTGTTGTTTTGTTTTGAGTTGCTTTTAGTAGGAAATAAATGCTTTATTTACAATTCTTATTGAATAGCCCTGATCACTGCTGTAACATCCAGGTTGTCTCTAATCTGAGTTCAGGATTATTTAGGAAGTTTATGTGAGTGCTGTGTAGTCCGACAGGCTCAGGGAAGTAACTGCAGGTTTTTAATTGGTCTGTATTTAACCTCTTTCCCCTCATGGAAACCTCAAGTTGCACAGAAGTCCATCTAAAGCCCACGACATTCAGATGTTAATTTTAACTGTTCCTACAGATGAATGAATGTTGTGTTGCTGTGTTTAAACACCGGTTGTTCTGTAGCCAAGCCCAGTCAAACCTGCTCTCGTGTTGCAGGACTCACCCATCTCATCACCATGGACCTCCACCAGAAGGAAATCCAGGGTTTCTTCACCTTTCCTGTAGACAACCTGAGAGCGTCGCCGTACCTCATCCAGTACATCCAGGAGGAGGTTCGGTTCTGTTGTTTTATGTGACCAAAGAAAACCGCTGCACCTTTATCTGCGTCAAATAAGACTCTAGCCTTTTATTCAAGGGTTTGGTGTATTTGTCTCTGCTCAGATCCCAGACTACAGGAATGCCATAATTGTTGCAAAGTCCCCATCAGCTGCTAAGAGGTATCAGACACTCAAAACACTCCTGCAGGAAAACACTGATGCTCAACCCAAAGCTGCCTGTCAGTGGCTGCAAATCAAAACAACAATCTACTGGTCCATGTATGAAAACCGTATGTTTTGGGTTTGATGTGTGTGTAAGATAGGGATGGGTACCTTTGACATTTGAATCGATTCGGTACTAATTTCCGGTACCTAGGAATCGATACCGGTACTTAACGGTACCAATTTTTGATACTTTTGAGTGTTTAATATTTTAATTCTCTTTTATAATTAAATATATATTTTTCTCAATATATAACAATATTTGATAAATATCACGATAAATAACATTCAACTGTTTGTATTTTAACATCGTCCTTGTAGTTTTATTAGCTGATAATTAAACTGAAGCAAACATCTTTACTGTGAACTAAATTTACTGTGTATCTTCATTCCTTTGGCCATCTTTTTTCATTTGATTTTTCCTACTGGGAAGTTAGAATTTCCGAGGAGAAAGCGAACGCACCATTAGCTGATAACAATGGTGGCAATGGAAGCTAACATACCAAGCTAACGTTATCTTAAACAGTTTATTTAGCTGCTGGAGCAGATTAAAACGATGATGCCTCACACTTAGATCGTTGTCACTGGTTTCATCTTCACCCAATCACCCGTCGCATTTAGTAAAGTGAAGCCAAACTTTAGAGCACGTTCATGTTCTTCTAGTCGGAAATTCGGAGTTCCGAGGAGAAAGCGAACGCACCATTAGTGAAACAGAAGCTAACAAATCAAGCTAACGTTATCTTAAACATTTTATTTACGTACCGGAGCTGCTCTGTTTACAACTCGCTCGCAGCGAGCGACGACATAACGCTCTTGCGCATGCGCAGCTGTCTAGGCAAGTTCTCGTTGTGAAGGACGGGTACCGAAACGAGGCACCGTTTCAAATGAAGTGAATCGGTGCTCGGTCGGTACTATGGAATTCGGTCGGTACCTTAAAAAGTACCGAATTCGGTACCCATCCCTAGTGTAAGAGTGTAAATTGGCTCTTGTTTACCATCGTTGGCAGGAAGTGTGTGTGTGCTGTTCTGACTCCTAATGAGATATTCATATTTAAACAGAACATCATTTAAAGGCTGAGTTTCTACGTTTTCTAAAGAGGGTCAAAGAACAGTTTCCAATTCCCAAAAAGTGGTTGTTTAACCCCCTTTAGGTGGTAGCGGTCCGTTTGTCTGTGTCTCTGACTCCAGCGTGTCCGTCTGTCTCAGGGCTCAGTCCTACGCGGAGCGACTGCGACTCGGGCTGGCGGTGATCCACGGCGAGGCTCAACATTCAGAGTCAGACATGGCAGACGGTCGGCAATCCCCCCCGCTGTCCCGGACCACCTCCGGACACCCCGGCCTGGAGTTACCATGTAAGACACACAGCAGAGCGACTCGTCGTCTTTGGTCCATTTCACCTAAAACACGTCTGCTGTTTGTTGCTGTTGCTATTAGAGGAAGATGTGTTTGAAATGGTGTTGGAGCGTGATGGGCTCGACACACGGGACGCGACATCGCCTCTCCTCCATTCATTTTCAATGAGACATGCGCGACAAAGCGATAATCGCGGGTCTCCCTCCTACCAAGCGAAACGCGAGAAACGTGCGTGTGAAATTTTGCGCTCGTGCACGTGTCGTGCACGTACGACCCAGCGACGCGATCCCAGAAAGTTGAAACATTTTCAACTTTCCATCGCTGTCGCTCGGACGAGGACCAATCAACGGAGGTTTCATTCACTGACCAATGAGCGGACAGGATGCTCCGTACACCTCCGAGCAAACATGGAGGAGAAGTTGATTATTATTATGTTTTATAGTAAAATCTCAAGTAAGATTTCACATAACTCTAACAGCACCTTGGGAAACATCATATCTACCGCTTTATTAACTCTGAACCGCTTAAATAACCTTAATTCCCTCCAACCTGACACAGCCAAGCAAAACAACGGAAGTTTCGATTTCGCCATGGAACAGAACGCGTAGACGGCTTCGCCGCTGGCCGCTGCTGCGGATCGCCTCCCGTGTGTCGAGCCCATAAGATATTACCTCAGTGTTTTTGGGAGACTTAAGCACTTTTAAACCGAAATCACGACTTGGCCCTGAAATCTGTGAGCTCCACTAAAACGCTGCGGGATCCTATCAGCTGATTTCTTGCAGCGTTGTCACACAGACTCAAGGTTCTGCCGTTTGTTCTGCGTGACGGGTAGAAGGACTTGAGGAGGGCTTCACTCCTTCCACACCAGTCTGTTTGTTTGCAGGTGTTGAAAGTTTTTCTGAGCTCTCAGGCTCATCAGATTGGTCCTGTGGTTTCTGGGATTTAGCTTGGATTAAAGCATGATGACCGCGTGGTTTAACCTAATCTCCAGCCAGCTGATCCTGACCCCGGTTACACAGCAGACGGCACTTCTGCCCTGAAAGTAATTCTGTTTCCTTTATCTGCGTTTGCCAGTGATGATGGCGAAGGAGAAGCCGCCCATCTCTGTCGTCGGAGACGTCGGAGGCAGAATCGCCATCATTGTTGTAAGAACTCTGGCTTTTCGGTGATATTCTTGCTTTTTTTGGTCACAGATGGGGAAAACTAATGCTCTGTATGAGTTTTATATCAATGTTACATACAAATATTTTCCCTGCTTCTGTCCTCAGGATGACATCATAGACGATGTGGAGGACTTTGTGGCGGCAGCAGAAATCCTGAAAGAGAGAGGAGCCTACAAGATCTACATCATGGCCACACATGGCCTACTGTCTGCAGAGGCACCGAGACTAATAGAGGAGTCAGCTATCGATGAGGTAGGAGACTCACCTCTGTCCTCCTTTGCCGTGGAGACGGTTAGAATGGAAAGTGCGTCTGACGGTTACCTCCTCTAATCTAATCTAACATATGTGGTGTGAACCGATCTGCCTCTTTCAGAGTGGAAATGTTTCAGAGCCTCCACTTGGAGGAAGTTCTGCTCATCGACATTTTTACACACACACCACACACAGGGTATCTGCAGGTCCTTAAAATGTCTTAAAAAGTCTTAAATTAGCTTTTCCAAATTTAAGGCCTTAAAAATCTTAAAAACGACAAATAATCCTTAAATAGTTTCCAAAGGTCTTAAATTACCAACGACCCAATAAACAAGATTCTTTTATTTCTATAAAATTTTCGTGAATTTTTAGTTAGTTTGGCATTTTTTGTGTACGATGTTGGCGTAAGTGGAACCGTACGCATTCGGTTGGTTGTGAAAGGGGGCTATTTTTAGATGAACATGCTAGTGGGAGTTTGCGCCATGGGGAAGACATGGCAACATTAATGGTAACTGGATGGCTAATCCCACGTTCACGGCGTGGTTAGCACCGGTTCCAAGCAATAGCTGGAAAATAAAGCTTAAATTTAATTTAAAAAAATAGCTTAAATTTGGTCAAAGTGGCCTTAAAAAGGTCTTAAAAAGTCTTAAATTTGGCTCCCTTAAACCTGCAGATACCCTGCACACAACTGCAGAAGTGTAATGCAGCTCTTAGAAACAAGTTGTAAATCAGTGTACACACACACACACACACACACACACACACACACACACACACACACACACACACACACACACACACACACACACAGCAGTGTCTGATATGATTTAGCCTTCATACAAACGAGGTCATGGTGCGAAGTTCATTATATCAGTAATTCAACTTAAAAGCTGAAAGTAATCTGAGACGTTTCAGCCTTTGTTTGATATTCCTGTGACGATTGTGGCTCACAGCTGATGAAATCAGAAAATTACATGAAATCAGTAAAACGAGGATTTTGACTAGAGAAATGTTGGACCTCTGAAGACTCGTCGACTCACAAAACCACTCGATACGAAGGAAGGTTAACTCGAGTCAGTAACGCGGTTCAGATTTTGTTTTATTAGGTTAACGGCGTAAGCACAGGAATGTTTTCACATGAAACTGACATCTACAGGTGGTGGTGACCAACACCGTCCCCCACGAGGTGCAGAAGCTGCAGTGTCCAAAGATCCGAACCGTGGACGTCAGCATGATCCTGGCCGAGGCCATCCGACGCATCCACAACGGGGAGTCCATGTCCTATCTGTTCCGCAACATCGCTGTGGACGACTGAGCACACACACACACGTTAAACCATTCCAAACACTCAGACCGAGGTCGAACAATCCAGTGTATTAGCTCTGTTGTTCCTGTTTGTGTAGCTGTTGACCACGTTTATACATGAGACCAGAACAGAAGCCTGTAGACACAAAACCGTGTTTCTGCTACAAGAACGCTACACAAGCACAGCCTCTCTGTCATCTGCTGAATAAAGCTGCTGTTCTAGTTTAGCAGTCTGTTTATTCCTCTGACCCGTCCCGACACAGCAGCACAGCTGGCTGGAACGAGTGCCCGTGCGGGTTCGTTTCAGGAACTAGAAACCGTTCGGAACGACTTCACACCTGAACCTGAAAACTTTCAGTAACACTTTCAGTCACCAGCAGGAAGAGCCTGGGTCCAGCTGCAGCCTCGACGGCTTTATTTATGGCTGCTGCCAACAGGAAGTGTGAGCCGTGTGATTTATTTACACTTAAAAAGAAAAAAGGTGCAAATGGTGGCTAGTTGTGAGCTGTGCTGACCTTGGGTTCACGCTTCTCCTTCATCATTGATAGCATAACTAGTTGAACTCGGTCACATATGATCAGTAGAGCCAGCATGTGGCAGAATGTCGCAAAAGCAAAAGGAGATGAGAGAATAACCTGCTTTTTAGACCAGATGGATCCACGTCCAGGAATTAGACGCTTCGAGCTCCGGCTGGTTCTGTCCCAAACCCTGAACTTGTTCTAAACGCCTCAGGTTGACCTTTAATCTGCTGAGGAGCTTTGACCAAGTCCAGAGGCGGAGACGTCCGTCCCCTACTGAACCCGCTCTAGAAGTCGGGGTAGTCTAAGTAAACGCCGCTCTGGAATCCCAAAACGGAGCCGAGGCTTTAAAGAAAGAAGATGACGAATCCACACACCTGCCCGGCTGAAGCTGTCGGGTCTGATTTCCATGGCGACTGAGCGAGGGCGCAGTGCGGAAGAATGTTTAAATGTGGACTGAAAGAGGAACTACTCGCAAACGTTTACTCGGCCACTTCCTCAAATTAGAACAGGAAACTTTGTGCAGGCGGGGGGGCGGACCTGGACCTGAACGCCACAACCGTCTCCTCTCCAGGTTATGATCAGAGGAACCAGGCTGAGCTATTTCAGGAACTGCAGATCAACAACCAGATGAATTGTTCTGTATTCAAATGTGCTGAGAGGAAGGTTGGGTTTCTGCTTCAGCTTTATCTACGGAGAACAAAACGGTGACTTATTCAGGCGTTGAAGGGTTCCGGTTCAGCAGGGAAACACGAGCGAAGCTCTGCAGCTTAAACGTTTGAAACGTTTTACTAAAGCAGCAAATTAAACCCTCGAGGATTCTCTTCTTTGTCTGATTTTTTAAATTTTATTTTAACAATTTAACACCTGTTACTTCACCTAGTTACAGCAGGTGTGTGTTCCTCGCCAGCAGAGGGCAGTAGAGATCAGAACATAGAACGCTCCCAGTTAGGGTGATCACCAACCACCCTGCAGGGTCTCTTAATTTAATTTAATTTGGCAGCACATCTAATTTGTTGCTGCTTTTCTTGTGAAACGGAGTTGTTGGCTCATCGCTGCCTAAAACGTGCGTGTAATAAACGGTAGAGGACTAAATATTCCTTTCAGAATCAGTTCTTTCTGCATGATTTGATGTCTTTCTATAAGTGCTGAGAATAATGACGACTCTGGAAAAATCTCAGATGCTAAACCTTTTGGTTTATAACCCAAACTATTAAATGAGTCTAGTTTATAAACGAACATGTTTTTCTATCTCGGTTCATTCTGAAACACTCGTGGTCTCATTGTTTCACTTCCTGATGGTTAATAAGTACGTTCTGTGCAATCCCTCCGTGCATCGACGACAAATCCACACCACCACCGTCGTCTCGTGTGCTTAAAGCCTTTTATTCCACATTTACATCAACAGTTCAGGTACAGGACACCTTTCAACGGCCACATTAAAAAAAACATTTGTAAGAGGACTTAAAAAAACACATTGTTCCCAAACAAAAGTGCATTTACAATAAATAACAGCATCTCACCACTGTTTTAAATGTGAGCTTAATAGAAAATAACTCCAGAAGTTGTAAACGTGGTGTGCTACATTTGAGTTCACAAAAAGAGAGAAGAGATCACGTGAGAAATACGAGTTTGGCACAAGACACGACACCGTTTAAATACCCAGTAAACCGTTTTTTAGCCTGAAAACCTTCAAACATCCTCCAGATTTAAGAGCTGTGAGTTGATCTAAACACCTGCAGCGCGTCGCCGAATGAGCAGCACTAAAAACGCAGATGCGTTATTCTGCTTCATGCTGTTCTCGTCCGTTTTCTCTCCGCTCAGAACCAAGTGTCTGTTGATCAGTCAAACGTTTATATACAGCAGGAGTCTGAGCGTCGCCTGGTTTTCTCTGTCCAGCAGAACCGAGACGCACATTTCTCCATCTTCCTTGGATTACGACAGAATGCAGCTGTTGGTTTTGTTCATAGGTGGCCGAAAGTCGGGTCCCTTTGGGAAGGTCTCCCTGCGTCTGCGTAACGCCGGGCTCAGGCGGCTGGGGAGGTTCACCTGCTGCAGGAGCTCCTTGAACACCTCCACCACGTTGGCGTTCTCTTTGGCAGAAGCCTCCAGAAAACTGTTGTTCCAGTCCATCTCTACGGTCGCCAGCACGTCGTCGGCCGACACTCGGCGCTCCTGTTCCCGGTCAACCTTGTTCCCAACCACCACGATCGGAGTGTACTTGTCCTCCTTGATCTCCAGGATCTCATCTCTCAGGCTCTTGACGGCCTCCAGCGACTCGGGGTCGTCCACTGCGTACACCAGGGCGAACGCGTCGCTGTTTTGGATGGACAGTTTGCGCATGGCAGGGAAGGAGTAGCTGCCGCTGGTGTCCAGGATCTCCACAGTGACTTTGACCCCACCGATGTCGTACTCTTTGCTGTGCAGCTCCTCCACTGTGCGTCTGTGTTTTGGCTCGAAGGTATCCTGGAGAAAGCGCCGTATCAGAGCCGTCTTGCCGACCCCCGCCGCCCCCAGAAAGACGACACGCACCTGAGTCTTCTCCTTCACTTCCAAGGACATTTTTCTCTATTTTTCCCCCAAACCTAATGAAAAGTAGTCCAAAATGCACCAAATACACCAACTCCAAACCTTTTACTCACTCTCCTAAATCATTCCTGATTTAAATTTATTTTAGTGGTTTTTCTTTGTAGGTTTATTTCTGTCTGCCGGTTGCGCTGCTGCCTGTAGCTTTACTGTTTGTCATCCCACGCTCTGCCTTTTATTCCTGATTTTGAGGGCTCTTATGCCTCAGTCTGCTCCTAGCCAATCGGGAGAGGGCAGCCTGTTGAATTACAACATCCAGGCAGCCAATGAGAACAGAGCATTCAAATGAGTGCATTAGAGCTCCTCGGGAAGAGGAGGTGATCTGCGGCTGAATGTTCTGCAGGAGTAGCAGACAGCTCCGTTTGAGCTCAGTCCTGATTATCATTCCACACACAGATAGGCGTGGGGGGAAATCAGGCGTGCATCTGAGGAAACTCAGAATGCTGCAGGTAAGATTAACGGCTTTTCAAAGTTCTTCTGTAAATTTTCTCCAGAATAAAGAGAAAAATCTGTCTCTTAAGTGAAAGAACAATCTTTGGTTTATGCATGATGTCTGCATTTTCAAAATCTGGTTTACATAAACCATAAAAGCATCTAACGCAGCTAAACGTTTGAAATCGGTTCAAATTCCGGTTTCTGAGAGGTTCCTGCTCGGCTCCGGTTTAGTTAGAACACTCAATAACGGCTGAGGTGGACCAGAGACTTGCAGTCGAACTACAAGAAATGGAATAAAAGAAAAGAAAAAGCACAAACACTGTTAAAATATTAGCTTTATATAAAAAAACAAATACACTTAGAAGGTGAAGATGTTAAAAGGTAAATGGTTTGGAGGAACTGCTGCAGAAATGGCCTTCATGTTTTAATCCAGATTAAGGAACATCCCAGGGACGCTGGCAGCATCGCTGGCCCTCGTGTAAAAATGGTGAGACGATGAGTTTGGTATGATGATGCTGTCATTCAAAAATGTCAACGTTAATAAAAATCAGCTCATGGATGAGAAGTTTAACTCGTGACACCAAAGAGGCGGGTGATCATGTTTTTGCCTGTGCTTGTTTTTCTAGAGTGTTAGAAAAAACTCTTAAAAACCGCCAGAAATTCAAAACAATCATTGGACAAATGCCCAAAAAGTCTAATTCAAGATGGTCACCAAAGCCAGCTGACCTTAGGGAACAGCACCTATAACCGCAGGCACTGCGCTGCATCTTGGTGAGTGAGGAGCTGAGAGTCCTTCTCCTCACACAGTCATAGAGGCTTTGTGTATCTTTACCGTTAATCTCTGGAAATATCCATAGAAATGCAGTTGAAAATGAGTAAAATTATGTCCAGTTGTTGAAAAATATTGGAGGCTTTGTAGCATACAACCTTAAAAATCGGGTAAGTACATAGTGCGCATGTCTAACGTCATCGGGCGACGCCATGTTTCCTTCTGGCTGGCTGGGGGCCCTGCGCCTGTCAATGACATCACATTAGATGATCGGCTAGATATTCGCCGTACGGAAGTTACGTTACCACGTTCAAAAACATTTATGCAGTAAGAGTGCACGAAATTACAAAACTGCTAAACTCTTTGCAAAACCTAAGTGAAAAATCAGAACCGAAAAAGACACGATACATTTTCACGGAGAGGTGTTGCCGTAGTTTGACATCATCAGCAGGCACACAACCCCGAGCAGATCCAGAAAACTAAAAGGCGTTGCCTCTCCCGACGGAGTTCACTGAAAGACCTTTAAAGTATGAGGGGTCATGCGGAGGTTGCATGCTTTCTGCTCCACAGGTTGTTCTTTTAAGCTAGCGACAGTCCCAGTGATATGGTGTAAAACTACCCAGAACTGCCCCCGAGTGCCAGGAAACTACACACTGTCGCTTTAACATTAGGGGCCATGATGTGGAAGCTAACAGGCAACATGTACCCCAACTAGGGTTGTCACGATACTAAAATTTCAAACTCGATTCGATACTGGGGGAAAAAACTCGATACTCGATTTCGGTACTATTTAAAAACACCAATTTATTGAACAAGTTTATTCAAAAAATAACATTCCTCAATTAAGTGTGTAAAGTGCTTAAACCTTTCAAGTATCAGCATTTTTTAAAACGTGCATACAAAAACTGGCGAAAGTTAACACTTTAAATCATGAATTGTCTCACTATATATACACTATTTGCAGAGTGATGTTTGCTGCTTAAACTCTGTTTAAGGTGCATTTTTGTCATAAGATGTAAGGCCATATGTTGTGTTCTGTACTTTTGAACAACTCTGTTGTCAATAAAGGGAGAAAACGAATTTCTCCACAGTAGGACAAAGGTACATCTACCGGTAATCTTAATAAAAACAGATTGGCGCACGGCAGTGACGTCATTAAAAGCGCCGGTTAGATTAGCCGCGGCTAGTCTGTTTACGCCTAGAAATCCCAGACCCGCTCCAAACGAACAGGGGAATCACGTTAATGATTCCTAACAAAACCTTTCGACATGAAGATGTTTTGGTGCAGATAATGTCTTATTTCGAGGCTGCACCATGGGTGCCCGTCCGCACCCGTTATATGGATATACGCTGACGGCGATTCGCCGATGGATCTAAATGCCCCGGGGAATCCAAGTAGCACCAAAGTTGTCAGCGTGAGTAAACAAACGTACTGCATGCTAGAAATTAAGCCCGGGTTGCAATAAACGGGAGTTTCCTTTAAGCACATAAGCGTGAATATGCAACTACGCGTCAGACTTGGTATGCTAATTAAGTTGGGCTGTGAAGCGCCTCCCAAATTCGCTGTTTATGTTTTTGTTTATTTATTTGGCAGACAAAACTTGGATCGGAGACAACTCGCGTGGGAAATTGCAATGTTGCCATGCGGCGTCTTCTGTTTGTCTGGGAGGTGGAGGCTGCTTTACGGCATCTGGCTGTCGTGCGTGTCGGTGTACTTGAAGAAGGCTGTGTATAATAGTCCATAATATCGATACCACAGGGATGGAATATCTCATTTAGTTACCACTTTTAGCATCGATTTATATCTAGGTATCGATTTTTTGGACAACACTAACCCCAACGTCTCAAAAGATGCAGGATCTTTTGAAATTGTGTGACCAAATCACCCACAAGGGCATCAGTTTTGTTACTTTTTGCAAACCTGATTAGTACGATTTGCAGCCTAATGTACAGTACATGATCATAATACATACAATAAAAAAGGAAAAGCCAGGAATTCCTTAAAGGGAAGTACCTGCTGTCTGCTAACGTGAGACCTCACACGATCTCGGTACGAATAACTTTCCCACGTAAGTTTTAGTTCTGAGTGTGTAGGAGCGACTGAGTTACAGCCATTGTTTGCTGAAGTAGGTGGGCTCATTACTTTCTGAAAGTTTGGTCGAACGCCTTTCAGGGATTTTATGAGACGTCTTGTAAATAAACACAGACAGCCAAAAATGGCTGTCACATTAAATTATCACAATTGAATGATTTCAGTACGTTTTGCTGTGAAAAGGTCATGATCAAACAGAAATAAAGATGATATTTGAAAGTTTAGCCACTAAAGAAGGAGAAAGACAATACAAATTGTATAATTATAATTGTTGGTTAAAGTGCAGACGCTGTTGTCTCGTGGACAGGTGTGGGTAGGTGCTTCGTTATGGCTCTTCTTAAGGCAGGTGCATGGTCTGGAGTTGATTTCAAGTACGATATTTGCATTTGAAAGCTCTTTCTGGCGTCAGAGAAGATTTTAGTGCAAGTGAAACGGGCATCATTAACCTACTAAGATGAAAGTCTGTCAGAGAGAGAGGAGATCTTCAGCAGTGGACAAGATGGAATCAACCTGGGGGTCTGGGCTCTGCTGCAGCAAACGTTGGTTTACTGGAGGATCTTTGTCAAACTGACATCTAACCCTGGCGCTGAGATTCAGAGACATTCACCTTCAAGCTCGTCTGTTCTTGTCCAAATCGAGAACAAGAACAGAGAAATGTCCAGTTCTGCAACTGTCTGACCGTCAATCTGGACCCGAATGACGGAACAAAGGTAGTAGGAAATGTTTGGGATATTCTGAGCATAACGAGATGTTCTGTCTGTTCATGTTTAAGCTGATTGGTCCAAATTCATCATAAAAGCAGACTGAGTTTTGGAGGAAATCCATCATCTGATGAGGACGAAAATAAAGATTCTTATTACATCACATTCACAGAAAACATTCCCAACAATCATTTTGTTTATTTATTGTCCTTTTTGCCAAAGCAGAGCCTCATAGAAGCTCTGTTAGCCTGCAGCACCAAGCTTGTAGGTTCATCTTGTCCAGCATCTGGTCACAAACCAGACTTCCTCTCTTCCTGGGGGGAACAGAGAGGGACCTGAGTCTGTCCTGCACCTCCCAGAAGAACAAGCCCTGAGAACCTCAAATCCCGAACACGTGTGCAGCAGCCTGGGAGCATTCGCAGCCTGCAGATGATTTGTTGCAACTTAAAAAAAATAAAAACCAAATCTTGACGTCTGCAGCAGAGCCAAGCTCCGCTCTCTGCTTTGGGATTCCTTTCCAAACTGTAGCGCTTGTTGGTTGTTCTTATTGTTACTGTGAGAAAAGTAACTCCTTGAAACTCGCAGATCGCTGCTCATTCGGGAGTAAGGCCCCTGCAGTAAAAGGTTTGTTTGCCAGCTAATCGTTTAGCCTGTCCAGTGGAGTTGCTGAGGTGTTCCGACCTTAAATCTGTGACATTTTCCTTGTGTACAGTCAGAGGAGAGCAGAATGTGGATCAGTCACATGTGGCTATGCGTGACTCTGTGAATCACACTCAGCCGTCCTCTCCTCGGTGCCTAATTAGATGTGATGCATTGGCTGAAGCCGTCTACAGAATCCGGCCCGATTCCAGTTTCTCTGAGTTTGATCCAGAGTCTCACTCGTGATCCTCCCCTGAGAGAGGCGTCGTCTCACAGACCATGACTCTGGTTATTCAGCAGCATGGAACCTGGATGGGCTTTGGGGAATACAGGAACGCCTTCCTCGCCCGCTTGCACTTCAACATCGTCTCGCCTGAGAAGGGCCTCTGTACCTGAGCTGGGCAGCAGAGCAGAGAAGAGCTCTCTGGGTATAGTAGCTGCATCAGTACTGTGAGAAGTAGTTTAAGCCGGGCGTACACTGTGCGACTTTTTCACTTTTTTGAGCCGATTTTCCACTCGTGCGAGAATCCAC